ACATTTGCAGCTGTTGTCAAGATTACTGTTCTATCTTTTAAATTAAAATACTGAAACGTTACCGTGTCCTTGTCTCTCCTAAAATGCATTACAGCAAACTAGAAGCATGTCTCTCAGGAATAGCCCATATTATCTCATTGAGGTAAAGACGTTACTTCACTGGCCTGTGATGAATAATGCAAGAGGCCTGGCATATCTTCAGAGGTGGGACTACATTGACAGTGTGTGTCTCTGGTTTTTTTGTTTGCCTTAATTTCTACACTTTAAGTAATTTTAAAGCTATTTTTATATTTCACAAGTATTAAACCCGCTTTCTTTTTAACATGCAATTCTAAGAATAAGGGAAATGCAGCACTCTCTTCCCCCTTGCTAGAGAATTATTTTCTATGTGCCTTAACCCTGCATGTTCAGCCTGTCCTCCCCTCCATTTCTGAACCTCCTACCTCTTCCGACGTTCAAGGTCCTGCTTGCTTGAAAATCCAGGTATGTTCAAAATGCAGCTTTTTTGTAATTACTGATCCCAATTTTATTTTTTTTTAAGAAAAAACAAAAAGCGTTTCATCACTCAATTTATACTTTCAGCTGAGTCACGTGCATTTCAACTTCCCTCTCAGAGCTGAGGGCTTCTCTTGCATCTTTTGGTTGTCCAGTTCCCCAGGTTTTTGTGTCTTGTTGTCCCTTCCCGACTGTCTGAGACAAACCAGAAGGCAAAAAATGCTCCTGGGCCCTGGGCCTGCGCTTGCCTCTGCTCGCTTTGCAGTAGTCCGAAAGTCTGGCTCGGTGCGCTGGGTTCCTGCACTCAGGTTAAGGGGAGACCACCTCAGCGGGGCCCACTGGTCTCTTGGCGTGGTTTGGGCGCAGGCAGCCGGCTCTCTCGCCCTCCCACTACTGTCTAGCTGGTCCTCTTGCTGGTTCTAGCCTTTATGGGGGTGGGAGATCAAGCACCCGCAAACTGGAAGGCAGGTGGGCAAGAGCCCTCCTACCATTTCCCCACTCCTTGTACCTTTACTTGGGACTGCACTTAAGGATTTGCTCGGGGGTCTGGAATACACCTCTGTAACTGCTGTACAATTGAACTGCAGCCTCTTCTCCCCCCCCTTCTCTTTGAGGTGATAGATGCCAAGTTTTCCTTGTAAATTTGAAGTGGGGGCCAACCTAATTGCTGAAATTCAGGTCACGGTTACTTTCCGGGTGCATGGGTGGCCATGGGAGATACAGTGGTAACCGGACAGGCGCTGGCTAGCACATTCCGCAGGGACACTGGCTTTCCCATCTGTTTCCCTTGCATTTTACAGAGCGTGCAGCAGCTGGATCACTACTTAGAAGAGGCCAGAGAACTACATGTGCTGTCCACAAGTGCCAGTGTCCTCACTGGTGGCTCTGGCTCAGGCAGCCTTGCTGCTCTCTGCTTGCCCGTGTCTGCTGACGCTTTCCCACTCTTCCCTTCACCGAGCTGCTGTAAAAACATCCCCCGGCCACAGACAGGGGGAGAAAAGGGCAGCAGCAGCTACACGACTGAGAGGAGCTGCGTCATCTCCCAATGGTGCGAAGCGCTCGCTCGCTGTTCCCTTTCTGTGGACATACAGCACTAACAGAGACCGAGGTGAGTGGTTGGAAGTGATCTAGTGCTGAGATTGCACAGCCTAAGCTCTGTTGTTTCACCACCTCAATTTAAAAAGTGGGTTGCGATCATAAGAGTGTTTAAATGTACTTAGGTTACGTTTTAGCTTCTGCATTTTCATTAATTATGTCAGGCAGCCTGACTCATGCTCTTATGTAAGTACTGAGCTGTAATGAAGCTGCATGTTGTAGTCAGTTAGTGCAGGGCTCTAAGAGTCGTTGGTGTTTTCATTAAAACATAATGCTTTCTGTCTCGGGGAGGGGGATGGTTTGAACTTCAAGAATAGGGATGTGCAACTTTAAATTTTGTCCCCTGTAGATGCAGAGGAGTTGTGTGACAGCAGGGGTTGTTCTCATCAAATTAAGTGGATTCTCGGGTAGGATCTGGGGAAAAACAGGCCACTTACAAAATTGGTTTTTGCTAATGAGAAACTGCTGCCTCCCACAATTTAACCCAGTTTTGTTTGCAAAAGATGTTGCATGACAGAAACATGAATTCTTTTCTGGTCTAAAAGAATTTAAGTCTTTTGGTTCATATTCAAAACTGAAAAGTATCTCCAGCTTGATGATACAGCCCATGGCTCTATCCACGCGCTATGACCTGTCACATCTGCAACGAATAGCCTGGTGGTGGGAGTGGAAAGGACAAGACTTGTGGCAGGTCTTGCTTCTTGGAAACAGCCTTTAATCCTCCCAACTAAAATTCACGTTTTAAACAGGCTGTTTGCATTTTGACAGCAGTTGTAGGATTACAGCTATGGCAAGAGCAGCCATGTTGGTAGTAGGACAAAGACTGCGGCCTGTATAATGTTGAGGGAGCTGAATTTTCTGTTAAACAACAACAAAAAGTGCGCTAGTATAGATAGCGCACCTTGTTTACACAGCGTTATTTTTCTGGAACCAAAAGTCTACAGGATGAATTACTGGAATATATTTGAATATTTGGAGTTTACTTGAATATATAAATGCTGGGCTACAGCCAGAAATACTAAGTCCCTTGTTCAAACACTCCTTTCCCAAAAGGCCGATCTGCCACAGCCCTGCCTAGCATACATGCAGGCTGATTTGACTGCAAAACAGAGATGTTTTTCACTGTTCCCCACAAAAATGTATAACAGAAAATGCCAGAAATCTTGTATTACTAATCAAGAACAGCTTTTCTTAATCACAAGATTTTAACGATGTTCTGTGTAGAACTATAACTGGTAATCCAATCACTCATGCACTCTCCTCCACTTAATTCAATTTCCCGTAACAGCCGAGTGATTGCAATCACTTTCCTGATTGTAGCAATCGTAAAGCCCCACTCCTGGTCACCCAGTCGTGAAAGATGACTGGGTGCACTGATTCTGTACCTAAATCAAAATGAAGCAGCAGCAGACTGGAATTGCAGCAATACAGCAGAAAAATCAGACCCATTGGGGATTTTTTTTTTTTTTTTTAAATTTTTAAATCACTGGAAATCAGTTGATGTGCTTTTTCAATCAGGAAAGTAAGGGGAAAAAAAAACCCTGTCCACCTGTGCGTTCATGCTATAAGCGTATGCGTGCCGAAGAGCCTGAGCCAGCGAACGGTGGCCACAGCAGTGTGGGTACGGACGTGTCCACAGGCTGTCTCTGTTCCACGCGCGACATCTAAAGCGTGAAGCGGTGTGCCCAGCCATGTCTAGTTTTCTTTTCTTCACCACTGCTGTTAGGCAGCACAGGAGAGGCAACTGTGTCCACCGGCACACTGGCTCTTATGTTCCTTGCTCCTTTATAGTGGGTCCAGGACTTACTTTCTTTTTGGTTTGGTCGTGTCTGGGACAGATATGCTATTTCTGTGATTTTTGTCACCAATCCTGTCCTTGCATCTTATTCCTAACGGTAACACTCAGAAAGCCCGGTCAGGGCTTCCTGGCCCTCTGGTTGCTCGTCCTTGCAAACCTGGCACCACCGCCCGCAGAGCGCAGGGGGTACCCAGATCTTCTTTGCCTTCAGCATCAGCACTGCAGGGAGTCCTCACCGGGGCCGTGCCATGCCTTCATACCTGCCCTTGGGTGTGTGGTAACGGCCTCCGAAGCAGAGAGCATCCTGTTCAAAAGACATGGCCTACCACCGCCGATCCCCTCCTTGGTGCTGTGGCGCTCCAGTCCACAAATTAGCGTTTGCTAGCTAGCGTCAGGGCTGACTTCCCTCTCTTCACATTCCTTCCCACACTAATTCACTTGCAGGAGCAACCTTCTTAAAAGAGATTTTCTAATTTCAGAGAGTGTGAGAGACTGAATTCTGGTAAGGATTGCTTTAGAGATGGTGATAAACTGTTCCTCTACCACCACCAGAGTGTGAAATTAAACAATCATCTACCTTACAGTCAAAGACAAACAAGCATTTGGGTGAAAAAACAGGGCTGCGCTCTTGAGTGGCAAGAATGAACAGCACAGACCCTGCAGTGCTGCTCTTCAGGCATGTCAAATTATGCATCATATCCTGTAAACAGGTACCCGAAGTTTTAACTCACAATTTTCACTCCTTTGACGCTTCTATTCTTCATGCACAACATACAGTCGTTGCAGTGGACTGGAAAGACTGTGGGCCCTAATAAAATAATAGAAAACTCTTTCCTTTTTTGATTGCTTCCTAACACTTTTTATGAAGCAGGGAACTTTTTTGTTAATTTGTAAGTAAGTGATGATTTGCAAACCGATATTTTCACAGATCTGGAAACGACAAATCCTTGATGAAGCTTCCCTGGGGGTAATGCTTCCCTGCCACCAAATCAAGAGCCTGGTCTGTCTCCACGATGAAGAGGGGAAAGAAATCTGCTACTTCAAGTCTGTTGGACATGAAAAGTCGGAAGCAGAAGCATAGCGGGTAAGAGCATATTTTTCTATCAAGTATTGCAGTATGTGGCCTCTAGTGATTACTGTCCATCTTCTGTGCTGCTCGCTGTTCTGTTATCGCACTCCTTCCGGCAATGACTTCCACACTCCTGCTATCAGCTATTTTCTCCCCGCTGCTGTTGAAAACAGGTACCTGCGTTGCCTTTGGCTTGTCCTTTGTGTCTGTGATTGACCCTAATGTTAGTGGAACTGAAAGACACCGCTGGGTTGCTTGTACCCTTTCAAACTGAGGCTAATGTCCTGTTACAATGGTTTGCGGAGAGGTATTTTGATCCAACTTTTGAATTGATCGATCAACTTGTATCTCCAAGAGGAATTTAGACAACTATCTGTTTGCAAAACAATATTTTATTAATAAAAAGACTTATAAACAGTAAGAAAGAAACCCCAACTTTACACTGAATGAAAAATCCGCAATAAACTCCCAGAAACATGCCTCAGTTCTTCACTCTCTGTACAAGAAATGCCATGTCAGTAATTCCACGGGTAAGAAAAGCCATGGGCTGTAATCCTACGTACACCATTACCTAAAGATGGCTGAAAAGTACAAAAAAAAGCATCATGCATACTTCTATGCAGAACAGCTACACAGCTGGACAGACTTAACAGTACACACAAAAAATCTGTACATCAGTGATTAAAAAAGCCATGCTTCGTGTAGCACCCAGGGGAGAATGACGTGGATTAAAAAAAATTCAGTGATAACTGCAAGCCCTGCAATTCTGAATTAGGGACACGACTGACCAATTTCTGCTTGCAGTTTCATCTCTTCTTTTCTCAAGGGAAAATTGTCAATAAGTGCAAAGAGCTCAGCTGGCGTCGCTGGGAAGGGATAGCGTTCCTTGTCCATTCCATGCTTGTCCATCACCACGATGTTGAAATTGTAATGGGGGATCCTCAGCAGCAGCCTGCAAAACAAGGCACTTGTTTTGTTAAAGCCCTTCATCCACTGCCTGGGCACTGCAAACTAATAAATGGCAGAACCAGCCTGTTGGCAGAGGAAGGTGGGGATGGAAGAGGCAGCTACACAGGGTCCGCTTTGTTTCAGCTGTTAAGAGCAAGGAGTCAGAGAGACAGTGGGTGCCTGCATGTGCTGCAGGCTCTACCTCTGCCTTAGGGAAGGGTCAAGGTAACTGCACTCGGGTTTTCTTCTCAGACCTCTGACTGTTAGTATAGCACATGCCATTACCTATTGCTATCACAAGAGATTAAAAAAAATAAGATAAAGTACTATACACACTGCCTACAGAAAACCACTGTGCTGGAGCTGGAGTTACAAGCAGACTCTTCCCTTTCTTGGCTGCTACGTGGTATAAAACCGCAACGAGAAAAAGCAGAACAAAATTATTGGAGTCAGTTTTCATCACTTCCTAATAGCCACCATCCACCTGGTGGTAACTCCAGTTTAGGAGAACAAAAGTCACCGTTGTTCACGGCAGAGCCCCTTCCTTCCAAGTGGTAAAAGGGGTCATCTGAGGTGCTCTGGAGGTGCGACAGTAACAAAAGTATATCCTCAGTGCTCTTCTCAGCTCTTGCTTGAAGGAGTAACGAACTACACGGTCCTTAGACGTGCAGTCAGCCAACATCATTGGTGTGGGGAAAATAAATTCAGGCAGCCGTGACAGAATGGTGTCAGGACAGGAAAGCTGCCGTAAAGAACAGGGTCTGGGGGCGATGTTGGTAAGGTGTCAAGCATCAAAATTGACCTTCCTCAGCCTTCTAACAAGTTTGAGTGCTCTAGGCATCTTCTTGTTGCAATTAGGGAGCTTGGCTATTAAATTCAAACTAAAATACAGTCTGAAGCTAAGCTATGGCGATAGGAAACTACATTCCTCTTGTGCCCCATCTCACCTAAGAAAAATGCTTACCTTCTACAAATCCAAATGCTAACCTTCTGAGGTTTCCAAAGTTTTAACTGAGGTGCCTGTGCTCATTACTTTACTGAATGCCAATTCTGGACAGCATCTTTATACAGTACGTTTAAGAGTGCCTCCCAGAACTGGAATGCTGCCATTTACACACCGCAGTAACAACAGAGAAAAAAAAAAAATCAAATAGAAAACTAACTTTCACTGGGGGCAGGGCAGGTCCTACCATCCCGATTTCCAAAATACAGCTCTGTTAAAGGTTGTGGGGGCTGGTGGAATGGCGTGTTACCAGAGTTTATTATTTTCTACAGACCCACAAGAAAACCACTTCAACTTTAGTAAAAGTACTTTTACTTTTCTGAATAAAAGAGAAGCTCTTTGTGTTCCCTTTTTCCTTTTATAGAGAACAAATGTTTTTATTTTTTGTAATCCAAAAAAAGGTCACTGACTTGTTAGCATTTTTTATTGTCCCCAATTAAAACTCTCTCCAGTTCCTCAGGCGTTATCACCAAAGATGTTGCCTAAGATGCTCCTGGACTAAATAACTACTCCTTTCCCTGCCACTGAGGCCTTCACTTTTGGCTCTTGTATTTCTCCTGCCCCTAGGAAATGCTGGCATCTGAAGTCTCCCTTTCAAGTGAAAACCAACCCCCTGTCAGTCCAAAACCCAAGCCAAATCAGTTTAAGCACCTCACTAAAACTGCTGAGTCTTGTAGCCAGGCTGGGGAGGCTGAGATCATTTCCCCTTTGGAACACCGCCTGTATCACCTCTACACGCACTTCAAAGAGCGACCCCTGCTTCCCCTTCTGGCCTGGCAGCTGCCCCGGGGCTGTCCTTGCAAGGCGGTCACGCCCTGCCATGGCTGCATCAGCCCAACGCCAGCACAAACGCGGCCGTACGCGAAGTGCCTGCAGGGGCTGCACCCAGAGATACAGACCTACAGCACGATCAAAGGGATACACGGGGAGTTCACAGGAGTTCAGAAACTCGCTCTGTCTGAGCGAAGGGTCAGGGAAGGCAGGGCGCTTGCTTGAAAGAGTGGCATGTGGGTCGTGGCCCATTTAAACGCGAAACAAGCTGAAGTCTATGGTATTTATGAAATTGAGAGCAAATGCCCACGAATTTGCAGTAGCTACTACACAGAGAGCAAACTAATCCTAAAACTCACCAACATCCACTGTCCAGTGTCTAGCTATGTACGTTAGAGTAGAATATGTATATTAGAGAGTAAGATGCAGGGATAAAAAGCAATACATCATCACATATGCTAAGGTGCAAACACGAAAATAGCGAGAGCTTTACCTGAGCTGCAGGGCAAGTGACGGGGGCAGCAGCTTCACACCTATTCTTCCTATCTGTGCTGGGAAGACACCAACCAATTCAACTACAGTAACGTGTCGGAGGTCTAAACCACACTGTGCTGGCTGGAAGGGTTAACAGAAGAAAGAGGTGTATTAGTTATCAGTGACAGAACAGGGGGGTTGTTTGGAGCGTGCGGCGAGTGTTCATAAAGAGTCTGATGACCTTGTGTTAGTGAGATGGTTTAAACTGCAATGAGAGCACGTTTTGAAAAGTCTCTAATGTGAACAGCCAGAACCTCTTGACTCCAGGGGATGTCAAATGATGGATTCTTAACTGCTCCAAGAAAAACAACACACAGGGACCACCCAGGAGAAATATAAACTTGGCTTTGTAGTGACATGAAAGGACGTCAGTGTATTAAGCATTGTGCCAATTTGGCAATCAAAGCCAGGTATGTGAAATTGGAGTCAACTGCAGGAAGTTTTCTTTCATGCCAACTAGTTTGACCACTGTCAAGCACTGGGAAAAGTACTATAGCCATTATATTTAGTATTTTAAACTATTTCATTTTGATCAATATACTGAATTTTCTTCCCAAGTTAATCTAGTGGGGGAAAAGAAAACCTGCTTTTTTTAATACAACTGTAACTTAAGCCAGCCGTTAGAGACATCATCGTGTTCATATCCCAATAACTATTTATACATTTTTTGTTACAGTGGTGAGAAAAGAAACAAGACGGAAGCACTTGCCGCTGTGGAAGAATACAGGACTGGCTCCTTTCCCTGAGGTCACAGGTACATTTCTGAGACACATCCATAAGTCGAGCAAGAACCCAACAACAGCATCACATTTACAGCACGTAAGAAGGACAATTACCCAAAGTTTTCCCTTTTTTTTGGAACAAAATACCCCAGTGCTACCTCCAGCACTCTAGATGACTTCTGTGCTGCGTCTCTGGTCCCTTGCCGGTTCACTGGTTATTTCTGAAGCTTTTTACACTTCCTTGCGTTGTAGTTACAAAGTCTCTAAGCCTGGTCTGCGTGAACTGCAACCACTGCAGTGCTGGACAGTTGGGGGGTTTTTCAACTTCTTTAGGAGCTGAGTTAGGGAATGACTACTGAGCACAAGTTAGTATTAAATTAATTTGGGGAGGATGGAAGAGGGCCGGAACTGCCTGGGACTCAGTGACTGGTCAGTCAGAGGCAGCACAATCCAGAAAAGAGCTGAATTAGAGCAGGGGGAGATGTTTCAACTCAAACCCATGTAAAAATGATTAATCCAGAACTGCTACTGCTTCAGCCAGATCCTCCAGTGGCTGCACTATAACAGCTGAACTCTGCAGATTTATATAAAACAGTGGATCTTGTTCTCTTGTGTCTTTCTTTAAAGAAGAAAAATAATTGCACGCCCTCCCCCCCTCCCCAAAATGTGTTTTACCTGCAGCATTCCCAACTGCATCCTGTAGAAGAAGTTGGCTGCAGTGGGAGTTGAAATAATTAGCAGTCTCCGCTTCTCATAAAATTGATCCAGAAGTGCAGCTGCAGTCCTCACATTCACATTAATATTCATGGCTAGAATTAAATTTAAAACACAAGTTAGAGCAAGTCCTGAAAACAGATCTGTTTCTAAAAGCGCAAACTGTTAGACAGAAGCAGCACAGGAAAAAGAGAATAATAATAAAGATGATACGGGTGAAATACTGGCCTCATTGAAGCCAACAATTTTATCTTAAGCTGTTCTGGCTTGCAAGACGGATTGACTCCAGAATGTGAAGTTTTGTAGAGAGCTTTGAGCTAAAACACATTATCAGTTGTGAGGTACGATCAGCATCCCAGGAAAGAGCAGCCAAAGGTGGCAAAGGCTTCAGCTGCAAGTGCAGATTGGCAGAGGAGACAAAGATGTTAAGTTTCTTACCTCTAGGCATTAAAGTTTGCAGCTGTATTCCACCCCACACCCCCATCCCAAACTCTCACTGCCACGAGAACCATTGCTCTGGCAGCCCTGCTGGTAAAGCGGTGAAATACTCACTTACGTGCACAGGTTGGCTCCACTCCTGACCACCCCGAATTGTACTGGCACACTCTAGCTGGGCTTCCTGACAGCTCGTAGCCACCAATGCAGGAGAACTCGCATGTAGCGCCGTAGTTATTTCCATCACCTGAACACTTGATGTAGCCGTTATCTGGGGCATTTAACTTCACACAGCGCCTGACTTTAAGCGAGAGGCAGGAAGAAAACAAAACAAAAATGACACGGCATGAATCACCCTGTCGTTACTAGGGTAGCATGGCCAGCAGAATACCAATGCAGAAGACATTTTTCTGTGTGCTGTCTATATTATTAGAGTCATGTACTTAAAAACCTCTCTTAACTCCTATGTATACAGATGTATAGGTGTATGCATGTGATTGTGGTATCATGGTGACAAAAGGTTGTGGAGCACAGAGAGCTGAAGCTGAAACCTACGGGTTTCATCTCCGTATATTCAATGCCAGATTTCAAGACCTGGTCTTGCGAAAGGGCAGTCCTGCTTGACAGATGTGAGTCACAGCTGAAAAAAACACCTTCATATCCTTGTTACAGCAGCTCACAAGCTAAGTAGCTGGGAGAAGCCAACAGGAGGGAAGGGCGGGGGGAGCTGCAGAGCGCTGGCCACCCACCCTGCTGCAGGCCTGGCCGCCAGGGTCTTGAGCAAGATGTCGTTCTACCTTTCAGTATCAACGTACAGTTTATATACACATACAGATGCAGCTAAACAGAGAAATGAGGACATTTCTCAAATTGCCTACTCAGCCAGATGCAAATTAGTGACTATTTATAGGGTAAAACATCATTCTTACCTCTGACTTTAACAAGAAATTTGCAAGTGCCTTTGTTTTCAGCTCTGTCATACACAGTGTATTGGATTTTGTGGTCACCTTCTGGAAAATGTGACCCTGGTGGCAGGCCTTTCAAAATAACACTAAAACAGGAGATAAAACAGGACAGACATTCATAAATTCACCAGCATTTTCCTACTGACAATGCTGTAAAGGCCTGAAAAGTGACGTTTGTGGCATGCTAAGACTGTCTGGCTGTGCTGCATGACTGAAGACTTGAGAGTAAGCAAGGGAAGAAGCTGGGCAACGGTGACCAGAGTGTTTAAACTTGCTACCATCAGCCCACCCTGGAGTCGTACAAAAGGGTCTCACCCTCCTGAGACAAGGGAGGCAGAGCAGGCAGGGCCTGCTCGCTTCCCGTAAGACACTCCGCAGTGCAGCTGAGCATCACGCCATGCCCAAAGGAACTCGAGCTTCCTTTTCCCTATGTAAGGAAAATCGAGATTGAGCCTCCCTCATTTTGTATCGTGAACAATCCACTGCCAGGCTGCAGCGCAACCCAGAGCCAGCGGGGTGCAAGAAAACGTCCAGCCTCTTACAATGGGGACGTACCCCACGTGGCTGCTCTGCACTGCTCCCGTGACTGTACTAACGTACAAAAATGGAACAGAAAGCGAGATTTATTGTCACAGCAGAAGGGCGCGGTGATACACAGCAGGGTTTTCACCTGGAACTCGTTCCTTTCCTGCAAATGTGTCAGGATTTAAGGATGTTAAACGTATCCTCAGTACTGAAGCAGTGAGGCTGAGCAGTGTTCTGTGTAATGGGAAAGCTTACATACTCACGGGACCAGTGCATTTAAGGAAAGCACTGTACACTCTATAAAACACAACAGTTCAGCAAGATTTTATAAAAAAAAACCCCAGATTTATGGAAGAGCTTCCACAGATTCAACAGCTAGCCTTTTCAGCACTGGGAACAGTTACTCATATGACAAAGTCTACATGGGTTATTCCCCTTCTGTTTTTTTGCCTGCCAGACATTTAATCAAAAAGACTTTGGAATTTCTTTATTGTGACACTTTTCAAAGTTTTTGTCAGGCTTAAGTTTTTTGATGCTGTTAATTGCCATAGAACTATCACATTAGACCTTAACACAATTGTGTAATGAATTTTTCTTTCTGATAGTATTTAAACTGTAACAATAAAAGAACAAAGTTACTGTGTCTTTCAACAGTGTTTTTTGTATTCACATAAAACCACAACCCTCTTTAAGCTTACAACTTTGAGATTTTAAGCTTAACCGGTCCACTAGTAACAGAGTTAAAAGATGTAACTTGCTTAGTGAAAAAAGCAGATGTTCTGTACCCTTTCATTACAATAACCTAGACAGACTGCCATGAATCCTGCACGATAAAGATGGGCAAATCAGAGACAGTGGTACCATCACAAGTGCACCTTGTTGTGCTGGAAAATGTGACTGTGAAACCATAAAGACTGAGAAGGAAATTTTGAAGAAAGTGTTTACATCCAATGTTTAAAGATCCTTATGTTTCAAATGAGAGGCATAACTTCACAAGTAGCTGCAGAACACCGTGACATCAGTACTCAGCACTTCTTCAGGAAGAAGCCTAAAGATGATTGCAGATATTGTTTTGTGATACAATTCATCTTGTTTTTTTTAAGACACTCAAAATTGTCCCTGCTGCTACCTCCAATGCACTATTGTCTCTTCACTGTTACGTATAAAAGGTGACTTGCTTAAAGAAACTTGTATATGAGAAGAGACCCACAAAGCGGCTCTGGAAAATCTCACAGGCACAGTCAAAATGCTATCGTCATTTATTCCATCAGCTCTAAAATAACCACAACAATCTGCTGCCCTTCATGTAGGAGCCAGTTCCTGAACGATCCACCTCCAAGTTGTCAACTTTTTCAGTTAAACACGCAATTCTTTACGGGCCAGTGACCTGCGACAGCTACAAATAAGCATCTTGGATGAATGACGGGGAAAGGGTACCTGGCCGCCCTCATCAGCTGAATTACTAACAAAGGGACCCCAGGAATAAAAAGCAGAAAATGCAAACATCTACAGGGTTGCACCTACTCTGTCAGAATCCCATCAGCAGTGTCCCGCCCCTCCGGGGTGTCCCAGAACACTCTGGCCGTCAACTTGTTGGGCTCCGCGGTTTTCTCCTTCACGCTCGGGCACTGGATTCTCGGCGGTTCAGTATCTGTGGAAATAAAGGTCACGGAAATAGGCACGTGTGCCTGTGTTACAGCTACGCGTTCTCTGCGCAGCTCTTGCCCTGCTGTCAATGTAACCCAACGTGAACCACCTTCAGCTTCCCTCCTCAACACCGAAGCCGTCCCAGCCAAGGCATGGGGGGGGGCCTGTACTTCTCACCTTTTTGTAAGAAGAGTAAGAGATGACAGTGATCAACCCCTTGCAATGTAAAAAAAAAAAAAAAATCACTAAAAGTAGTTATTGTAAATTTCTTTACACAGTCCCCTGTTAAAAAGCAACTTCAGCAAACGGATAAATATTTAGCTTTGAACTCGAAGGAGGGATGCCCAAGACTGTACCCAAGGAGCCTGGACATTCTGTTTACCTGCTCTTCCTCTCTTTGTTCGTCTGTGCGGTAGATATTGTGATTAGGACCATTTGTAAAGCACACTTTTGAAGCTTCCTGGACTTTACAAGAACAAGGTTCATCTTTACGGCTTCTTTAACTTTTTCACTTTGTGAGTTCGTTCACTCCTCCTTCCTTCATCTGCTACAGTATGCAAACGCGCAGGATTTCCAAGTACTTTGTCTCCTTTCTTAATATTGCTTATTCTCTCCATTATTTTTAGAGTACCCGCTCATTATGTTGGGAAACCTGCTCACGCTGCAGCCAGCGAGAGCTCTGCCCGCCTCTACAAAACTACGTTGCTCTCGCTAACCCCCCAGCGTAGCTGGATTAGGGCAGGAAATAACCCAGTCTCACCAAGGCTGCTTCTGGCTCTGCTTAGTTCGCTGTGACAACAGCTCACCGCTGTGCTAAGGTCAGTATACATTAAATAAACATAATGCTGGAATAAAAGACAGAACGGCATTTAAGGACCCAGTGTTTTAAGCACTTAATTAATCAGAAAACTCGTTAAGCTACTTAGCACAGCGAAGGCTGGTTGGTATGAACCGGCAGGGACTTCCACATCATAAAGACAAACAGCACAGTTACTGTGGGAACCAACTCACCAAGCACCCGGGGCCCAGGCAGCCTTTTTAGCTGGACTTTAACATTCCTGGAAAGGATATTTTCTTTTTTTGGTCATTTCAGCTGCCTCTTAGCATTCAACAGGCACTAAGTGAACCCCACCAGAATAACTCTGCTTTGAAACGGACCACGAGAAAGCAGGTGTCTACCACAGAGGCTCTTTAACTGCCATGGGATGCGTTAAACCAAAGAGCGCTGAGGTCTTTTTCCTTGTGCCCTCGCACAAAGCTGCAGCCAATCTACAGCGTATTAATTAAGCACCTTGGCCACAGCCTGGCAGAAGGAAGACAGGTCTTAAAAAACTCCAACCCGTTCAGATGCAGAGAAGGCGATCCAGGCAAAGGCATAAGCGGCCAAACTGAAATACAACCTCCCAACACCACCCCAAAAAACCTTCAATAAAATGTATGACAGGAGCAAGGTGCCCACCTGCAGGTCACAAAACTAAACTGGTTCCAAAACAAACCCCAACGGAGGAACCCACAAAATTGCTGACTGCTGCGGAGGTTTTATCAGAGGGAAAAATCATCCCATGAGCACCAGACTGTCAGAGTCTCAGGATGCCTGGCCAGAGCTGGAGCCAGGGCCTGACCCCGTACGGCTAGTCCGGCGCTTTTACTGCGGTGTCACGGCTGAAAGACTGACGAAAAGCCAAGCGGATTTATTTAAGCTGTTTAGCAGGGCTATATATTAAGCTGGTGAATCTCGCCTGCAAGGCTTAAACTATGGGCAGGGAAATTGAGTTTTCTTTAAAAAACTCCGTGCTGTTCAGCCACATTCTTGTAAGCTGTCACTTTTCTTGGCTACTCGGCAGCAGCAACTGGTTCTCCGGCTCCACGCGGGGCAGCGGCATTGCAGACATGGCATCAGGAGGTCAGCAGTGGAACACCAAATTTTAAAGCGGCCTTTTGAACTTTGTGGAGAAAAATGCCAAGTTTTCAAATAGGTTTTAGTTTTATTTAATCTCGTTTTTAAACATACTTCTGGGACTGGCCATATTAACAATTTCAACAAAATTTAGAGAGCTGGTTAACTGCCTTTCGCATAGTTCGTTCGAGGTTTACGTTTGTTTGATTGTGAATTTGGGATGACAAGTTATAAGATGGGCTGGTACCGAATGCCCACTGTGTGCTTATTCAAGAGTCTGTGTGGGGCAGGTAAATGGTCTGCTGCTGCTACATAAACACGCTGTTACGACTGACTGCTGATGGCGTTAAACGATGGCTGGAAGTTAATTCAAAACGTTAGCCTGTGTCAAAAGCATAAAGAGCTGAAGAGACTGGAAATCATAAAAGGGGGAATGAAAAACATTGTCCTGCTCTCCCTATGCTCCTCCACAAGGCACTGCTCTGTATTTCCAAACACCCATTATCAGGGCCTGTATAATTAATGACTCAGAGTGCAAAGCTTGTTTCAGACATCCATAGTTGGAAGCTGTTAGTTAACTACCTACCAGTACAGTCTTAGGATGTGACAAAAGGATGACTTAGCACAGTGACAGCCATTTACCACAACCTGTTACACGATCATCAGGAAAATGAAACATTTTTCAATCTTCTAGAGGAAAATACCTGTTTCAATCTATGTTACAGTGCATTAACGATATAATGGAAATATTATTCAAGCGAGTATTGACATTTTTAGCTAACGGATAACCAAAAGCAGCTGTACATTGACCTTTCAAAATTATTCGATTAAATAGCAGCATGAAGGATATCCTTCCTCTTATAGGAGGACAACAGCGGACAGACAGTCTGCTTTGTTAGGATAGAATACTCACTGTCTGTAAAGGCTTCCATAAGTGACTGCTAAAACACACCTGATTTTATTTAGTTTAAAAAAAAAAAAAAAAATCTTTTCCCCCCTTTTTAATGACTACTTTTTCAGCAATGATGTTAGCCTTATGCCTTTCCTACCTGGGTCTTCACTACGGCACCGTGAACCCCACGTAGTTTTGTGCAAAAATGCTAAACAGTGCAACTGCAGTACGAAAGTGTAGAGGAAAGCCCCTTGTTTTCCAAAAGATTATAAATTCAGGTCTGCAGTAATTGTGCCAGTAGCTGTGGTGTCCCCAGACCACTCCCCTACCAATTTGCAATGACATGAACTTTACCAGCCCATGCCTATGATCACACGTAGCATCCCTACTGTCCACTGTACAACTAACTGCTTATATAACTAATTGCTACAGTAAGAAACAAACCAGCCTCTTTGCATTTGTATTTCATTGCTTCCCTCACCTTAATCTGACGCCTCAGCTGAAAGTGAGCTGTTCAGCCAGTTCTCTCCTGGCCACTGGTAAGCTTTCATGGGCTGCAGTTCACTGATGACTTCTGTAGCTACTGAATTGCAGGAAGGGGTACGTGTTCAATTGCAAACTGCATTATACTGTTAGGGTCACGTAGAGAAAAAAATCTCTATCCTACCTATCGAGAGGTCAAACGACAGCCTTATTAAACAGTCTGCTCACTGTGTAACTCACGACTCGCACATAGGAACTGTGAGCACACAAGGTTTGAAGGGATCTTCTCCATACTACATGGTATTTCCAGAACTTCAAGAATAGCATTACTTTTACTGGGTTACTTGGGACTTGAAATCATACCCTATGCAACAATTATGCTCCATTTTTAGAATCAAAAAAGAAGTGTTAGTGCTAATTTAGCCTCTTTTTTTGCTTAAGACATACTTGCTTACTCTACTCTGCAAGACAGCATCCTCTGTAATAAGCACCCCGCTGCTGCAAACAGATGAGGTTCTGAAAGTGCCAGGAAATACAGAGGACAACATCTTAACATTCCTAAACTTAAAAGGGTCTGTTTTTCTTCCTCTGCCCACACCACTGAGGACAGGCCTTGTTTTTGTAAATAAAAACAAGTGACACCATAGACAGTCTAGACCCAAGCAGCAGGCTCACTTCTACATTTGTACAACACCAAGTAACAGGAAACATGAACAAAATTCTGCGAACATCAGGCCACAGTGGAGAGACTCCAAAGCCATTTGCGAACCTAGACTGAGCCACAGGCATTCTGAGGAAAACCAAGTTATCATAAACACAACACACTGAACACAAATACTCTACCACCCACAAGCTTAAATTACTGGTAGCCGATTCAGATGGCCAAAAAAATACTTTCCTTTCTGGGTGGCTGCCGAACCTTTTGTCAAAGACTTCTGAGAAACAAGAGCAGCAGCTGAAACTTCACTATCTGCTGAAGTCTCATTAGTAGAAAGGAAAGTTGAATCTCAATATTTGTTTATCTCTCTTTTGATTTATGTATATAAAACCAATTATTCCAGCCGAGGTTCCTGGGAGACCACTGACTATGTAATGAAAATTGCTGGCGTAACTAATGTGAACTGAAATTCAGTTCTAATTCAGAACTAATGTGGCTGAAATTTAGTTTAGCTCGCTGCAGTCATGCTGGTAGCTACAGTCCGCTCATATTCCCTGGATATATTTGGAAACCACGATCCCACGAAAGAAAAGCAACAAGGGAGGTCAGACAAAGGCTTTAGTGTCAAACCTGTTTTATCATTAAGTCGCAGAGAGCCGGACAGACTGCAGCAGGGAGAACACGCTAGAAGAGCAGCACGGTCATTACCGACTACCAACGAGTCACGCAGGAGATCAGCAGAGGCTGTTACAAGCGTCGTAAAGCTCTGACCGTTTACACCAGCCTCGTCTTTATTAAAGTGGTAACACTTGGACCTGATAGCGCATGTGTAAGGAGGACGGGCACTTGGGACTGACAGTACTAAGTGACAGCACTACGTATCCCTTAGGAAAACTGCTCTCTGCTTCCTCAAAAGGGACTGTTGCTTCTTTCCCCCCAGGAACTGGACTAAAGGGCATTTTGGAACTCATTTGGAGAACTCGGGCACCAGCAGGTGCCTCAAGATGCAGACCTTCCAGGATGCCGACTAGCCATCCTACTTACCCACACAGGATGCTGGCCGTCCGCTCCAGACTTTGTTGTCCATGCACGTTACTATGCGGTCGCCTTTCAGCTGGTATCCCGGTGAACAGTAGTACTCACACCTCGAGCCAAAGTAGGCACCATCTAAACACTTGAAGCCCCCGTTGGTCGGCATGGACAGGGTGGGGCAGCGCTTTTCTGGAATAGAAAACAAAGATCTCTGGAAACCTGTTATCCCCCTTCAGAGTAATATGAATGGGGGGTATTACACAGGAACAAGGCTGCAGATAGAGAATGACAAGTGGGAGAAAGTCATGTCCACGTGAGGCTTTTCACACTGTTCTTATTAGCTGTGTTTCAAATTTAACTTTACATACACGGTGGCCTAATACAACATTTATATGAGAAAAAAAAAGATGACAAGTACCTACTCCTCTCTTCTCAGAAAATGTTTTTACTGCA